AACTTTTGAATAGTAATAGTATCATTTAATATATTTTTTTACTATTGTTGGTCTGTTGTGTTGTCTGAACCCAGTCAGGGCATTTCAGCATGATAAGTTTGGTCTTTAGAAACCATGATAAGAAACAGTAGTTGGTTCTTTTTCGTGGTCTCTGTGCAATCACACCTATGGGGCTTGCCGCAGATTATGAGACTTCAGTCGGATTAAATTTCCAAAGCTTGACGTCATGGAGTAGGCCCCTTGCACAGGTAGCATAAGGGGGGCTCCCACTCAGTCCCTCAGTTCCTTTTTGACCACACCTTTGCGTAGTTTCAGATCGGACCTTCCAGTAGCCAAACTCAGCTGGTTTGCCATTTTTTTCTTTCTCTCATCCTTTTCTCTTTGCTATTAAAAAAAAAAATTTTGCCTGACTCATTTTTTTCTTACTCATCTCGAGGCTTCTTGGACTTGGTTCTCCACATGGCTGAGGATCTCGGTTTTGAAACCTCCCAATCACCTGAGCCCAAGGCCAACCTGTGCTACGATGCCCTGGCCTCAGGGGATAGCACTCCCATGTCCATCCCCACCATGCCTGTGGTGCTCTGCATGGCACAACAGTCCTGGAAAGCCCCTGCAGGGCCCCTGGTCACCTCACGCAGAGCTGACTGCTTATATGGTGATCATCAAGGCATACCCTCTGCTCCTCCAGCACCCTAAGCCCAACTCCATCATAGTGGAGTCCATGCAGGACACACCACAGAGGGATCAGTCCACCCTGGTGGATAGGGAAGGGCACCGCCTATATATCATGGCCAAGAAAATCTACACAGCTACCTCCCTGGGCTTCAGTGTCTCTAACTATGAGGCCACCGTGGCCAGATACCAGTTCTTGTGGGAGAAGATGAGTTCCATGGTAGACCTGCTCCCAGACCACTTCCAGGACGCACTTCTTCTCATTCACACTGAGGTGGAGGGCCTTTCTAGGTTCCAGCTTGAGGCAGCTTGAGATCACGTTGACTGTGCCAGCAAGGCCATGATGGAGGCAGTAGTCATCCACCGCTATACCTGGCTGAGCTCTGCCCCCCTGCCCCTCAAGACCCGGGCCCACATTGAGGACCTGCCCTTTGATGACAAAGGCCTCCTTGATGCGCATACAGATGGGAATATGGACTTCCTCCATAAAGCATGCACCACCACCAAATGCATGGGGTTTGGGCAGAGTACAGTGCAAAGAAGATGTCAGGGAACTCCTGCAGCCTCCAATCGCAGCTACTTCCCTACTGCCCCACGCGTCCCAGAGCACCACCTGCCAACAAGAGGCGGGATTCCCAACCTCACCAGAGGCTCCTGCAGAAGCTCCAGGATGCCAGGCACAGGCGCTGACACTCTAGTCCAGGCAGCCCCCCTCCTGCCCCCCCATCTGCTTCACAAACCATCTAGCACAGTACCTCCCAGCCTGGGAGGCCATTATCCCTGATTCCTGGGTCCTATCAATCATCCAATGGGGGTACAGGATAGAATTTGATGCTTTGCCACCCCTTGGTAGCATCAAGACCAACCCTTCATCCCCTACCCTCTGGGCAGAGGTCCAGGCACTACTGAACAAAGGGGCAACAGAATGCGTCCTCCTGTCAGCCCACAGGGGCTTCTACTTCAGGTATTTCACAGTACCTAAATGGGACAAGACCCTCAGGCCTATCCTGGATTTCGGGGGTCAACAAGTTCATCATCCCCAAGAAATTTAGAATGGTCATGCTCCAGGACATCCTCCACCTCCTCAGCCAAGAAGACTGGTTCTCCTCCATCAACCTGAAGGATGCCTATTTCCATATCTCCATCCACCCTGAACACAGGCACTTCCTGTGTTTCCAAACTGACCAGGAGGCCTTTCAGTTCTGCATCCTTCCCTTTGGCCTAGCCACGGCTCCCTGCAAATTCACCAAATGCGTGGCAGTTGTCTGTGCCCACCTTAGGCTGCAGGACATCCAGATCTTCCCCTACCTGGACGACTGGCTCCTTGTGGCCTCCTCCAGGGAGGACCTTCTGCGTGGCTTAGCCATCACTTGCCACTCCTACAGGACCTGGGACTCTTCATCAACCATGACAAATCTGTTGTCTCCCCCGCACAGTCCATTCTCTTCATAGGGGCTCACCTGGACTCCTCCCCTGCCAAAGCCTTCCTATCTCAGCCAAGGGCAGAAACTCTTGTCCCTTTGGCCACGTCTGTCAGGGCTGCACTATTCTCCACCACCCACCAGAAGCTGCTGGGCCTCATGGCTGCCATGATACCAGTGCTGCAGCTTACAAGGCTCCACATGAGACCTCTCCAACTCTAGTTCGTGGAAGCCTTCACCTGGGATGAAGACCCCCAACAGAACCCTTCTAGCCCCACTCACGGCGGTCAGCTGGTGGAGCATCTTTGCCAATCTCACCACAGGCATGCCCTTCCTCCCCTCCCAGCCATCAGTGACCATCACCACAGGCGTGTCCAATGCAGGCTGGGGTGCTCACTGTGCAGGCATGCACGCACAGGGCCGCTGGAGCCAGGATGAAGCCTGCCTTCACATCAACATGCTGGAAATGCTGGCAGTCCAGAAAGTCTTTGTGTTCTTCCAAGACGTCCTGACAGGGTGCCATGTTCAGGTAGCCACAGACAACACCACTATCATGTACTACCTGAACAAACAAGGGGGAACACACTCTGCCCACCTTGCGACCCTGGCCACTGGTACTGGTGCATTCAGAGGAGCATCACCGTCACAGCTGTTCATGTGGCAGGCCACCTCAACACCCTCACAGACTCCTTGAGACTCTCCCCCTCCCTCCCACACATGTGGGAGCTGGAAGCCTCCATCTTCCACACACTGTGTAAGAAATGAGGACACCCTGAGATTGACCTCTTTGCCACCACCATGAACACCAAATGTGAGTGGTTCTGCTCCAGAGCAGCACAGGGCATGGGATCCCTAGGGGATGCCTTTCTCCTCAGATGAGAGAGGGCCCTCTTTTATGCCTTCCCTCCTTTCCCCTTGATCACCAGTGTGCCCCCCCAGTCTGGCCACACACACCCTCCTGGAGCCTCTCTGGTTTTACAATCCCTCAGAAAGAGGCCCTTCAAGCCCATGGCCACATCAGCTCTCCGCCTCCTCTCCTGGAAAACTGTATTCCTAGTGGACATCACATCTGCTCGACGTCCCAGCGAATTAGCTGTCCTACGGATCAATGCTCCCTTCATGTTTCACAGGGACAAGGTCATACTCCGCCCTGATCCTTGTTTCGCTCCTAAGGTGACATACCCTTTTCACGTCAACCAGGACATTATCCTTCCTGCCTTCTTCCCCAATTCCTCCACCTCCATCAAGGCCACACTCCACCTCCTCTAGGTCAGGAGGGCCCTTGCCTATTATAGGGCCCAGACTGAGCCATTACACCACTCTGAGCACCTCTTTGTATGCCACGAATGCCCCAGAACAAGTGAATCCATCTCCAGTTAAAGTCTCTCTAAGTGGGTCTCCAGCACCATGTCCCTTGCCTATGAGACGGCCAAGATTCCACCAGCACTGCTAGCTGGTGTCTCATTCCAGGAGATCTACAAGGCCGCGATGTGGTCCACTCAACCTTAATCTGCCACTACCAGCTGGACGTCCACACCAGACGGCACTGCACTTTTGGAGGAGTGGTTCACTCTTCAATTCTCCTATGACCACAGCCCCCTCCTCCTGGATTGTAAGATTGCTAGTTGCCCATAGGTGTGATTGCACAGAGATCAGGAAGAAGAAAGGTATATTGCTTACCTGTAACTGTCACTCTTCAAGTGGTCACCTGTGCATTCACACAACCCACCCTCTGCCCCGCTATCGTCAGCTTCTTGCCCTGCATGGGCTGGGGCAGGGCGAGGTCCCTGCTGTACCCTTCAGAGGTTCCTTGGATCCCTCGCACGCCTGGGCGGTGCAGTCTTCGGGCAACTGAGGGACTGGGCAGGATCACCCCTCCCCATGCTACCTGCACAAGGGGTGGGGTGGGCTCCTGCCAACTCCATGGTGCTGAGCTTTGAAAATTTAATCCGATCGAGGCCTCGCACTCTGCGGCAAGCCTCATAGATGTGAATGCATAGATGACCACTCAAAGAACAACAGTTACAGGTAAGCAACCTGCCTTTCTATGGTTTCTCTTTTCTACCATGGCTTATTGTGTTGTCTGAACCCAGGATCATGGCTTCTACAGTCCTGGTATTCAACTACCCCAGAGTGGTCAATACAGGATCTGCGTTAGCCTTCCAGCTTTTCTATGTGGGCCAGTGAGGAAAAGGCGGGTGACATAATCATGGAATGATATACTTTGGGACTGAATTTCAGGTGTAGTGGCTGATGGGATACATGTCCACAGTGGACATGTACTGAACAGGGAGGTTGGAAACCATGATAAAGTAGAAATCACTTAACTGCCTCTCTGGTAAATCATGGTAAAAAACCCTGCAAACTATGGTAAACACATAGGCTCGTTATCATATTGTGTGAACCCTTTCTTTGTATGGGCTTCCCCTAAAAGTGAAAAGTTAGGTCCTCAGCCAAAGCACAGGGAAGGGGAATACCAATTAGTAATTTGATTTGGGAACACTTGTGGGTAAATCATGGTGGGTAAACCATTTCTTCTGTTAAAATACATCTCCCTGGAGCTTATCTGTTTCTGCAACTTAAAAGCCAAAATTACAAAGATCATCTTAAAGACTAACAAATGTTAATCATGCATGAAGTATGATCCTCAATTGCCATCAGATGATGTAGACTGTTATTCAATTTGTTGGTCTCTAAGGTTCCATAAAGTTGTTTCTGCTATGACAGACTAATATGACTACCCTACTGTAAGTCAATACGTAAAAAGTACTAACAGTAGTCAAATTAATTAATAGCTCTCTTCAACATTAGTTAATTAGCTGTGGGTAGCAGTTGAGTTGCCTTGCTTGGGAATGATTGTATACTCATTGCTTGGGTATAATGAGTTGTGTATTTTCTTTTCCCAAGGTGCTCTTGTTTTGGGGGAACCAATCACTGCCAGTCTGGGGACAAATGGGACACATTATTGGAGCAAAAATTGGGCGAAGGCTGCAGCATTTGTAACTTCACCACCTCTGAGTCTGGATCCTACAACACCTGATCATTTGACCTCACTTTTAGCATGGTATTAAACTGAAAATGCTGGTAAAGTACTGATCCAACCAAGTGAGCCTAGAACATCTTGGGTGTGAGCTAAAGTGCATTAAATAAACTGATGATAATAAAGAAGAGTCTTAACATGTTTTGATGATTGCCTAATCTTTCTTCTTCTCAAAGTAAATTATCTGTTTATCTAAGGGTCAGAGCAAACTTTATGATGGAGACTTATGAACATTTTCATGACTAAAATAGAAAAGCAGCATCAGAGGCTGCAGTCATGGGTGAAAGAATGGCAAGGGAGAGACTTTACTCAGATTCTCCCTACGGGCTGCTTTCCCATTGATGGTAGGTGGGTAAAGACATGGAATTCCTGTAATTTCTCTTCTTGAAGAGAGGATGAGTGGTTTTGAATGGCAGGAAGGGACGGGATTAAATAGCCCTGCTCCCTACTGTTCCTCCACTCTGACTGGTAGTCTGCCATGACTGTTTTTCAAAAATAAATTCTGTCAGGAATTTCTGCTCACATGCCTTCCACATAATACCTAGCTTGGTCCTTAGTGAGATGGTGTTGTAATATCAAGTTTAAAATAACATATAAATCCTCTTATTGCTTAGTTTCAGTTTGCTGTGGCTTTTAATTTTTTTCACACAGACCTGAAATACAATGAAATTAGTAAAAAGTGAATATATATATTTAGATAATGCATTTTTTTGTCTTCATTTTTTTGATGTAAGAAAAAAACTCTACTTCTTTAAGCATGCCTTCTCACTGAAATGTTCTGGGAGTTGCAGCTTTTTTTTCCTGCCCAAATGTGGAGAGGACTTTAACCTAAGAAAGATTTCTAAGAAACTGTATTTCAGCTACAATTGATTTGAATATGGAAGCAAAGCCTGATTGTTAACTGAACTACAAACCAATAGTTACCAGTAGAATTTTAGTTTCCAAATACACATTCTGTACCAAGAAGTGAAAACTAAGCAATTCACCATCCTCCATTCATTTTAAATATTTCATGTGTAAATTCCTTCAGTGGTGACCTACAGGTGACAGGAAGCGCTCACTGTACCTACAGCACAGCGCAGAAGGCTGTTGGAAAAGACAACTTCACTCTGATTCCAGAAGGAGTTAATGGAATTGAAGAGAGAATGACTGTTGTCTGGGATAAGTGTGTAGTAAGTAAAAGGCATTACTCTTTAATTTTTCTTTAGCAATAGTAGCTGCATTTCTAAACTTCAAATCTAGCTGTTAGCTGAATACTAAAAGCCAAAGGCTAGTAGACCTGCATGCAGTGCCTCTTATTCCTATTGACCCACTGAAGGCTAAATGACATACTATGTTGTATGTGGTGTGTAGGTGAATCTAACTTTTCTTTAAAAAAAACCAAACTTTAGTGTAAACATACAGAACCAGGATCTGGAACCAGTGCATATGACTAGGGGAAATTAAACCATCCCACTGCTTTCCTGCTCTAAATTCATATGTTCCCCCACTTTCAGGGGATTAAAGATTTAAATTTTACTGGTTTTAATGGAGCATCATCCTGATTCTTCTGTAGCCCCACATATATACAATATTTATGATTCAGTTAAGGCATCCACACATTTATACTAAAATTAAATACAAGCTGAAGATTAGCTGCATCAGGGTAGATGTCCTTTTAGAGCCATTGGAACATTTTACAATTTGAAAAACTGTCCTGGACACCACCATAAAGAGTCTGCCATGAAAAGATGGCAATAGACATGTAACCACTTCAAAAGATTGCATATAAGGCAGAGAGCATAGTCTGCGCCTCAGTATACTAAGCAGTTCATTTAAACCCACCATTTCCAGCACTAACAATATTTCAAAACAGTCCTAGTTACAAGGGTCAGGGACTCTAACCCCAACTGGCCTAAAGGGTCATTTGTCTAATCACAAGAGACAGCAAATCACCTGCAAGATGCAACCCCCCCCCCAAAAAAAGATCTTTATTGAAGCATTCAGCCAGCAATACAGCACACCCTGTTCCTCCTTTGTAAGAAACCAGCACCAGTTATTAACAATCCAAATGTTACTATACCATTAAGAGCAAAATCAGTCATTGGTCATTTTTGATCTATCCCCATCCAAACATGGATCCTGCCTTCTGTGCAATGTTAGCCAGAGAAAGTAGGCTAACTTTCCATGCTTATCCTAACAATGGACAGTTAAGTAGAAAGTTAGTTGCCAACAATTGTCTTCTCAGCATTATCACAAGAATGCTGTTTCAGCTAAACAATTTTTGTTACACTAATCCTATGTTCAAACACACAAAATTTTTGAAATTCTATTTGACCTGAGGGGTGCTCTTTGGGGCAAGGCCTCAGCGAAGAGTTCAAACACACAAGGAATCAGAACTTTTTATCAACAAGTAAGAAAATATTTTGTGTTGGTTAAGTGAGAGAAGTAGGGCACCTTGAAGGGTGCCAAGGGCTGCCCTGTTCATGAGAGCATACTGCTTAACTCTGTGCTACACATTTGATACACATCTGAGATACAGTCTTCATCACATAATCTGTGCATATCTATTCAGAAGGAAGTCTTGTTGGCTTCCATGGGATTTACTCAATGCACAGAAGGTGGGATCCATGTCTGGATGGGGATAGGTCAAAATGACCAATGACTGAGTTTGCTGTTAATGGGATAGAAACATTTGGATTGTTAATAGCTGGTACTGGTCTCTTACAAAGGAAGAACAGGCTGCTCTGTGTTGGTGGATGTATGTGGCAAGGAGTGCTTCCCTTCAGCTATGGCTGGTCCATCAGCTGCATTACCCAGGCAGGCAAGTCCTTGAAACAATAACTCATGTACTGGTAACTTCCTGTTTTGACTATTGTAATGTGCTTTACATGGCGCTGCCTGTAAAGGTCTGGACATTGCAATTAGTTCAAAATAGAGCTACCAGATTGCTAACTGTGACTGGTAGATAAGAATATGTTACATTAGTCCTATATCAGCTACACTGGCTACCAATTGAAGTTCAGGGCCAATTTAAGGTTCTAATGATGACATATAAAGCTCTATATGGTTTAGGACCTGGTTATCTAAGGGATCTCCTTCCATATGAGCCTGCCCAGACCTTAAGATCATCTGTGGAGTTGAGGAAGGTTTTTAAGAGGAGAAGGACTTTTCTGCTATAGCACCCTGATTATGAAACTTAGTTTTAGTGAGGTGTGCCTGGCACTGACACTTTATTTGTTCCAGTACCAGGCCAAAAACGATTTACCCAGATTTTTAATAAATTGGTATTTTAATTATTTTAGTTCAAGTAGTGGCACTAAGGAGTTTTTAATTGTTTTATTGTTGACTTAGTTGTGTTTTTCAGCAAGGCAGGAGCAGGGCTCAGAAATGCAGGGGCCAGAGCTCAAGGAGTCACCAAGACAACTTGTGTTGCTGTGGCAAAGTGTCAGAAAGCCTTTTATTCTGATCTCCAGGGCCTCCAGCTGCACTGCATAATTGCTCCTCAGTTGTTCCCTGCAAGTGCCTGTAAGGATGTTCCTGGCTCTGCAGGGTCATGGCAGTAAACCCCTCCCCCACACACACACACACTTGAGAAAGGGAGTTCCACATCCCTTCACTGTTCTGGCTTCTTTGGATGGGCTCAGTGGAAGGCACTGTCTTTGGTTGGGGCATGTATAACAACATGTGGAATGTTGCATCCTGGGAAAGGATTTGGACAGGAAAATTTTAACTGTAAGAAATGAAAACCTGTGTGTATCTTGAGGGTACAGGGAAGTTCTGATTTGCAGCTCACAGGATTTATTTGTTGGATAAATGAATAGGGGCCCTGGTATTGGTAATCCAGTTTAGCAGAGGGGTGGCTGGACTTGTAGTGCTGCATGGAAATCTAAACCTTGTCTCTTACCTGGATGATAGGTCCTCCTTGTTGTTGGTCTGCCTGAGCTTTGTAATTAGCTTTGGCCTGTTCAAGATGACATACCAATTCCTTATGTACCTACTGAATATGAGTTACATGATCATTTGCAGAAGGGACCAGAGATATAGCCAGGGTACATGGGTGATCCCATGGATGATGCCCCATATTCATATAAAATGGGCTTTGCATATAATAATGCCAGCCATGCCTCCAGTGGTCAAGCTCAGCCAAGGGCAGAAGGTTGACCCAGTCCTCATGATGATTACTGAGAAAACAGCAGAGGTACTGTTTCAATATCTGGTTAACCCTCTTTGTCAGTCCATCTGTCTGAAGGTGGTAACTCATAATAACCTCCTTTGGACACCCAATAGTTCTAAAAAGGCTGTCCAGAAATGAGAGGTAAATTGAGGCCTCCTATCAGAGATGACTGCATCTGGCAAACCATGAAGATGGAATATATGTGTGAGGAACAGGTGGGCTATTTGTGATGAGTTGGGTAGATTATGGACAGGGATGAAGTGGGCCATCTTGACTAATAAGTCAACTATTACCAGGATCACTGAATGACCTTGGGATGGAGGTAGGCCTACAATGAAGTCCAAGGAAACAGTGGACCAATGCTTGGTAGGGGTAGGCAGAGGTTGTAGGAGGTCTTGCACATGTGTCACAGGACTGGATGTACTTCCCAATGTCAGGCCACTGGAAAGCCCAAGAAATCAATTTTAGAGTTTTAAAATACTCCCAGTGTCCTGCTGTGCGGTTGTCGTACTGTTGCAGAACCGGAATTCTGAGGAGACCTTCTGGAACATAGAGTTGCCCTATGTAGTAGTAGAGGCAGCCTTCTTATAGATATAGGACTTTTAGAGTTATTTGGCTACCCACAGTTAATCAGCTGGGGTCCTGCAAATGAATCTGTAGGCAAGGCTTGGTGGACCTGGGACAAGAAGTCCTGCTCCATGGTTCCATGAAGGAAATTAGCAGCTGTCAATAGAGGTGTTGGGACTATGCATTCCTCTGATACCAGATCATTCAGCCTGATACCAGATCATCCAGCATCAGCCTTTCCATTCTTAGTGCCAGGCCTTTAAGCTACCCAGAAATCAAAATGCAAAAAGTACAGGGGCCAGCAGGCTTGCCAAGGCTGGAGACGTTTCATGGTTTGAAAGTGCTCCAGATTCCAGTGATCTGTGAGCACCTGAATGGGATGTGCTGCTCCCTCCAAAAGATGTCACCATTTCTCAAGTGATAAAAATCAAAATATCATCCAGATAGACCCCCACAAAGTGATCCAGCATATTGCAGAAGACATCATTCACAAAATGTTGGAACATGGCAAGTTCATTGCAAAGGCCAAAAGGCTTTACTTGGTACTCCAGATGGCCATATTGGGTAAGAAAGGCAGTCTTCCATTCATCCCTTTTGCAGATCCTTACCAAGTTGTAAGGTCCTTGTAGAGACAATTTAGTAAAAATCTGAGCCTCCTGTAGCTGCTTGAAGAGTTCAGGGATTAATGGTAAGGGATACCAGTTTTTAAACTGTCACTTGGTCCAGCTTCCTGTAATCCATGCAGGGGTGCAACCCCCTATCCCTCTTCTTAACAAAAAAGACTGGGATTCTGGCTGGTGAGGCAGAGGGATGGATGAACCCCTGAGCCAGGTTATCTTGTTGATATTCATGGAAGGCTCCTAACTCAGGAGTTGATAAGGCACCCAAATGGAATCTCAGCCCCAGCTGCAAATCAATAGGACAGTCATAGGAGTGATGTGGCAACAGTGTCTCAGTCCCCTTTTCTTGAACACATCTGCCAGATCTTGATACTGGGTGGGAAGCATGACTGAGCAGGTTCTGGAGTTCTCATAGCAGTGCCCCATAGTGCTGGCTTGGGTGTCTTGATGTTGACTGCTCTGAGGATTCTCTTTGTCCAAAAATACTGTTGATGATTGGAAGCAGATTTTGTGACACCATGAAGACCTGAATTTGAATGAAAGATGGCTCCAAATGATGGTTGGATCATGTTTCATGAACCATGTGATGCCCAAAATCACAGGGTAGTGAGGAGAAGTGATATGATTGTAGGATACCAATTCCTTATGTCCAACAGGATTGCTGTGTGACAGAGCTAGATGATAGCAATGGCCCATCAAGGCCCTCTACCCCAACTGGAGCAGGCTTTGCTTGACAAGGGATGTGATGTTTCTAGGCAAATTCCTGTTTGATGAAATTAGAGGAGGCCCCAGAGTCAATCATAGCTGCCACCTGGAGGAGCTCCCTATG